CTTTGAATACATCTGTTTCCTTCCCCAAAGCTTAAAATATCAGTATTAAATAGATTTTGGAAGAAGCCAGATTCTGGTGAGGAAGGCTGTCTCTGCCGGCAAATATAGTCCCTCTCTCAGGACATAGTTGACCCCAAGACACCCCAATATTGTAATGGGGAGGATTTTTAAAGAAAACCATGAAGGTTCCCTTTACAGGGCCTCTGATAAACCTCACCATATAGCTGACAGTGGTCTGGTTAAATCAACAGAATACATGTTAAAATCTGCTGGGGCCTATTTGGGGTTTATTAAAGAAGAAAATGTTACAAGTTTTACACTGAAATCCACAATGTAATGTAAGAAAACAAGGAGAGGGGAGTGACGAGTGGGTGGTGTAGGGTGACTCTCTTTGTGCTCATTCTCATTTGACCTATCGCGGTTAGTGGAATCAGGCCGGGAGAATCTCAGATCCAAACAGAGAAGAACTGCGGACTTATCTGTCATGTGTCTGTCTTCCTGTAAGGCTGTGAGGCCCTTAATGGCAGGGATGGCATCCTGTGTCATCTCCTGAGTACCTGCTTCTCTAAACGAGACAGAGAAGACGGGGAAGGTGTGGAGGGAGGGACCCAGAGGTGAAACGAGTACTTTTGTACCTGTTGGAAAATGTGACCAGCAACCAGCAAAATTGAAGCAGTGACAAGACTTGTCTCTAACATGCTCCTTTCCTCTCCCACGTATGGGCTAACCCCTGGCAGGGTCTCCAGCCCTCCTCCATCCTCGGTAATCCGCCCACATGCGAGGTGCCTCCTCTCACCTGCCGTTTCTTCTCCAGTGCAAGCCCAGAAAACTTGGCTTGAAGGCTCAGCTCCCCAGTAACACTGGGCATGTGGCCTTTGACATCTGACCTCCTTCAGGTCCTCACCTTCCTCATTGGTAAAAATGGTAATAATTATACTTGTCTACCATGCAAGTGATTGTGAGGCTCAAGGAAAATGTGACGTGCAAGATTGTAGGGCGGGGAACAGGGTGAAGAGTGGGGAGACCACGCCATGCCCTCAAATGATTACTTCCCAGCCCCATGTGGTCCTCTGCTGAGGCCAGAGGTGATGGTGGAAGGCCCCTTCCTGAGTCTTAAGACACCCGGGCTGCCCCCTGGCTTCTCGGGTGAGGAAGATGGAATTTAGAAGGTCTGGCTCAAGGAGATTGGTCTTTAAAGACAGAACACTTTTTTCCTTTAAAGGAGGATGGCGTGCAGAGCCAGGGCCAGTTGAAACTGGGAATGTGTGCGGGGAGGAGGGGTGGACAAAGGTGACGTCAGATCCCAGACAGGCAGCCACAGGAGAGCTGGAGACAGCGCTGGGGGAGAGGCAGATGCGCCCTGCCAGAGGGCCTGGGCCCCTTGCTGTGCAGGGAGGGCCAGCGGGCAGTCTGGAGTCTGAGTCAAGGGAGCGAGCCTCCCACTGGGGAAGGCCCTGTATGAGGGAGAGGAGGGTAGTTGGTCCAAAGCTCTCACCATGCAAGCTGTGTAAGAAATACATTTTCCATCATAAGCCAGTATATGACTGCACAGCGACAATGTAGGAAACAAAGACAGAATTTTCATGAGACAGTACCTACTCTTATTAGGTGCTGTGTGCTCCGATATTTCTATTCTCTACCCCTTCTATCCCTTCTTCCCTCCCTCCCTCTCTCCCTTCCTTCCTGCCTTCCTGCCTTTATGCTTGCCTGCCGGCCTGCCAGCCGCCTTTCTTTTCTAGTTTCTTTCTTTCTACCTTCTTGTGTGATCAGCACAGTTGACTTCAAGACCCACTAGTGCAGTCGTTGGAGCACAGGGAGAACTGGGGGCTCCATCAGAGACCAACTGAGAGCCCCTACTCTCCCTAATCCCTGCCTCACTCCTTCATCATTACAAAGTTCCTTCTCCTTCTGCCCCTCCTCCTCCTCCTCTTTTTTTAAAACACAATTTCACCAGTGTCAAGAATAACCGGATTTATTTATCACAAAACTTTTGTGATCATATAACTCGCCTGGGGGCCGGTTGGCGTTACTGCTGCCTGGGCCTCCCCCTGGAGAGTCTGATCAGTTAAGTCCAGGCTGGGCCTGGTCACGCATGCGTGTAACGGGTGCACCCAGGCGGTCCTGACGATCAGGCCTGTCAGGGACTCCCTAGTCAGGCCCAAGCCCCTTATTGTGCTGATGAGGAATCTGGGGCCTGGAGAGGTCACACAGTAGGCACCACCCTTGGGGCAGGACATTGCAGTCAGACTCTCTGTGCCTACGTGTTCCACAGCTTGTGCATCACCAGGAGGGTCTCTAGACTGAGAGGATGAAGACTGGCCCCCATCATGCAGCAAGTTAGGGATGCAGTTGGGCTGGAACCCAGGTCATCATAGAATGCCACCTTTCTGCAATGGCCTGACTTCCTCCTGTTGCAGGTCCAGCCCATTCCAGGGCCAGCTCATGCCTCAAACAAGGGGTATCAGAGAGAACTACTGTCTACAGCCCCCTGGTCCTCTCCACCTCCTTCCCTGCTCCTGAGTGAAGCCTGGAGTTTATGTGGTAGAGGGAGAATGAGTCACCTCCAGCCACTCACTGTCACTCGGTCCTCTGGGGATAGGGTGCAACTTTGAAAGTTTGCACATGGCCATAGTTGTAGCAACCATCTTCCTGCCTTGCCCACCAGCACTGCCCCCCTGTCTACCAGCCCCTGGCAGTGGTCTTGCGGGCTTGGAAGGTGTTCTCTCAAGCCTCTGAAGGAGGAGAACTCTGGGAGCTTGGTTGCAAGCCAACTGCAGGCCCCGTGCTGCCCGCTCTCAGCTCTTTGCTGCTCCTCTGCTGAGGCTGCGGTTTGGCATTTCCTTCCTTACCCCGTTAGAGCCCCAGCAGCCTCCAGCCTGGCTGTTAGAGATACTGGTAGGAGGTGACACCGCAGAGAGCAGGGGGTCCTTTCAAGATCCAAAGCAGCCCTGTGAACTCAGCAGGGCCCAGCCAAGATGTGTGGGATGGGGGCGCTGAGGTGCGGTTCAGCCCCACCTCCCTCAAGTCATTACTGAAATGTCACGTTCTCATTGAGGTCTGACCATTTTAAATGGCAACTGCACCCCACCCTGCACAGCCATCCCCTTCCCCAGCCCTCACCACCATTGTGCATGTATATACACAGTATAGGCTTAACTTCAAATTTCACCTCCTTAAAGATCTCTCTCCACTAGCTCGCAATCTCCTGGAGAGCAGAGATCTCGGGTCTGTTTTCTTCATTGACGTACCTTGAGCGCCCAGCGGAGGAGTCCCTGGCACTTAGAAGGCCCTTAATGCATATTGTTGAATAAACAGTGACACCTGACATGGCCAGGATGCAGGACACTAAAGGGCTCCCCTGCCCACTCTGTAGGAGACCTTCCATCCGGCATGCGGTCATCTTCTCAAACAACCACTCAAAGGACCCGAAAAGAACCACGTCTCGAGCATTCTGATGGCATGATCAGAAGGTGACCAGGAAGCCCCCACCCCTGCTGTAAATATCTTTGCCTCTGGGCAGTCACTGAAGTGTGAAATTTCAACAATGACATTATTACAAGGGATTAAACATTGCCCTTTCTCCTTCTCTGTCCCTGTAAGTCCCCAGCGTAGTTGTGAAAATTCATTCATCCTATCATTCTAATGAGGTAGGAGGGTTTGGAGCCCTGGGAGAAGCGGGAGAGTCGGGGGGACCGGGGAATGATGAAGGAAGCTGGATGTGGCAGATGCCGAGGACTTTCTTTGCTAACTTAGTGAGTTTGTTTTAGCTCAAACTTGTTACCTTGAGATGATCATTAAGAAGACCGTTAAGCAAACGAAGACCACGGGTCATTCTCATAGATGGGCTAGGTAGGGACCCAACAGTGCCCGCTCCCAGGGAGCCTGCAGCATGCAGAGAATAAACACAGGGAGGTGATGCACTGAGGGGTGCTGGCTTGGAAATTGTGGCACCTGGCTTGTGGGGCTGGTGTGTGTGGCGGGGAGAGGGGCAGTCTTCATCACTGACCCGCTATGGCTGTGGGTGGATACTCTTCCTTGTCTGGGCCTGTGTCGCCTCCTCTCTACAACAAAGTTGGACTAGATAATCTCTGAGGCGCCTTCCAAGCACCCCAAATCCCCAGGAAACACGGAGCCCAGCTGGTTACTAATGTGGGTCTCTTAGTCTCACCAGTGGGTGCTGAGAGGGGCTGGAGTCTCGTGTCCCAGAGGTCTGAGAGTGGAATGGATGCTTGTTGCTAGTGAGTGCTGGAGATGTGGTCCTGATGACAAGCCCTCCCTGTCCTGGGGGTCGAGGATTTGCGATTTCAGGCATGGAGGTACCCAAGGACTAAGGGTATCTTCAAGTGTCCTGACCAAGGTGGCCCCAGGGGGATGGATGACTCAGGGGGTCTCTCACTCTGAAGGCTGTGCCTTTATAGGGGATTCTTCTCCAAGTTTTTAAAAGAATCCATGTCACTGAGTAGGAGTCAGGGAGGGGATACTGGAAGGAGGAAACAGTCAAAGAACAGCCTACTAGAGGTTGTGATAAGAAACATGTAACGAGTAGCTAGCTGATTCCTCTAGGTCTGGGAGGTGGTTTGAAGATTCTTGGGAGCAAGATGTCACCACAAGGATGCTCATGCAAGAGTCAGGGAACCTCAGCCCCAGGAATAATAATACAATAAAATACACAGTTATAGTCTCCAGATCCTGCGGCTCCTGCATTTCAGCGGAAAGGAAGCCACGTGTGAGCTGACGGGTCTTTAAGGAGAGGCTCTGAGCTAGATGCAGAATGTTCAGCCGGAGAGATCAGCAGGAGCAAGGTCTGGCCAGGGGCGGGGTCACAAGTTCTGGGAGGAAGTGAGGAGCAGAGGGCCCCCACGGAGGTGACCAAAAAGAGGCTGGCCAAGGTTGGCCCAGGCACCCCAACATCCTATAGATCAGGGAACTTCAGGGCTCAGTGGGAAGCTGAGGCCGGAAGGAGGTGGTCATCTCTCTGTATCTGTCTCGTTATCTTACAGGATTCTCAGTAAGTTAAGTCAAGAAATCAACAAGAACGAAGAGAGGAGGAGCATCTTCACACGCAAGTGAGTGGGCTGGCCCTGGGCCCTCTGGGAGGAAACCCAAGAATTTTTAAAGTCGTGTTGAGCCTGCAGTGGTTGCCTGAGTCCCAGGGGTCTTGGACGTGGTGCCCAAGGAGGGCGGGGGTTCCCTCTCCCTGCCCTACATCCTGCCCCGGGGTCCATACGTCAGGGGAACTTCCTCCAGAGTGTCATGCTCCCAGTTGTTGTGCCACCAATGTAGCTTTTGTGGTTTCCAGAATCTTCTTTGGAGCATCCTAGCCCCAGTTGCCAAGCAACAAGGACAAGTCCTTCCTGGGCAGTGAGACACACCCTGCACTGGGGGCTCCTCTCCCAGGACTGGATTGAGGAAAGAGGGAGATCCCCTTAATCAATAGGACCATTAACGCAGTGCTGTTTGCCTTTGCAGACCCCAAGTCCAGCGGTTTCCTGAAGAGACAGGTAAAGGCTGGGGCTGAGAGGTGATTGCTTTAGGAGGTGGTCGGCCTTCAGTTCTTCTGCCTTTCTGGTGCCTAGGGCTCCTTGGGTGTCATGCAGGCGACCTTACTCATTTGTTTGCCAGCAGTTCTTACCCAGGAAAGGGCTTGGGTCCCGATTGAGGGGAGGCGAGAAGTCACTCTGCAGGGCACCCGACTTAGAGCTCCTGCTCTGCTGGGACGTCTGCAGAGACACACTGAGGGGGTCTGGGAGCTGCGTGGGGCAGAAGGACCCAGGCTTTGACTGAGCACCTGATGTGAGCCCCCTCCCCTGCTTCCGAGGCTTTTTTGTTTTATTATTATTATTATTATTTTTTTTTTTTGGGCTAGCAAACAGCAGAAGTTTATTTCTCACAGTTCTGGGGGCCGGGAAGTCCATGGGGAAGGCGCCAGCAGATTCTCTGTCTGGTGGGGCCTGCTTCCTGGTCCAGCGACTGTGCCTTCTCCCTGCGTCTGCGCCTTTGGGCGGGGCTGCTTCTGAGCCTTTAAAGCAGTTTTTCAGAGGTTCAGTTGCACATAGTGTTAACATGCAGATTGCTGGGCCTCACCCAGTCCTGCTGAATCAGAAGCTCTAGGGATGGGGCCTCAAGTGTCTGCGTATTTTAAAGCACTGCTAGGTGACGTTCGCCACGGGAAAGGTGGAGAACCACTGCCGCCCTCTGGTTCTCGGGAGAATGAGCCCCTCAGGTAGACTCCCCGGAGCTGACAGTACGTGGCTAAGTCCCAGCTGTGTGGAAGGAGGAGGAAGGCCTGGGCCGGGGCACAGGTGGGGAGGGCGCAGATGCAGGAGCTGCTCTGACTTCCCTTCGAGTGGCGGCTTCCTTCGGTGCTGATAGTGGTGTCATTTCCTCCCACAGAAAGCCATGAGGAGGACAACGGGGGCTGGTCGTCCTTTGTGAGTATGGTGTGGGCTGTTCTTCCACCCGACAGCAGCATTCAGGGCGGCTTTGTCATCAGGTCCCAGCACAAAGCCACACGGAGCAAGGCCTCTAACAAGATGCCAGCACACCCCTCCAGGGCTCAGAAAGGGTGTTCTGTGAAGGGCCAGACAGAAAGTATTTTCGGCTTTGGGTGCCATGCAGCCTCTGTCTCAACTAAACTCTGCCACCGGAGCACAAAAGCAGCCGGGTGGACGAGCTAACAGATGGGTGTGGCTACGTGCCCATAAACCTCTATATACAAAAACAGAGGGGGCGGGCAGGGCTTGGCCCTTGGGCTGTAGTTGGCTGAGCATGCAGTTATCCACCATTACCCACCCCATGCAGGGCCTTTCCCCATCCCCCACCTATCTCCAAAAGTGAACCCTCCTAGAAATCCACTCTAAAGGAACTTTTCTTGTGGACTTTAGTCCCCACTGGTAGCGCAGAAGGAAAAGGATTCGGAAAGACCTCAGGGAAGGTCCAATCCAGTTGGTTTTTACATTTGAAGGGTCCCAGTGAAGCCTTTGAGAGTCGGATGGATTCTGGACATCCCCTCCCCAGAAAACTACACGTACGATCACCACTCCTATAACTAGTCTCAGGCCAAGGGCTCTAGTAGGGATCGTAGCCCAATCTGTTCAGTTCAGAGATGAAGCCACTGAGCCCAGGGGAGAATGTGACTTACACAGAGCCACACAGCGAGTTATAGGCAGACCTGCCACCAGGTCGCCCGACCCTCGGTCCAGTGGTCTTTCTGGTAAGTGGCTGCCTCTGGTGCCTTTAGAAAGCAGGAACAAAATGTCCCTTGTCCTACTGGGATTCTAGTGAAAGAAAGTATTTAATTTAAAACCAAAAAGATGTTTAGCCAAGTTTGTGCTTTCTACGTGAAAACAAAGAAATATGGCAGATGTATTTTGTATACAGGGAAAATAGAACAGACTTTCCCCCACAATGGTTCTGTTTTCTCTCAGAGCTGAATCCTCGCCACGCAGCCTTCTCATGCTCAGCCCGAGGACACTGTCCCATCCCTCTGCTCACTGAGGGTTTGCTTTCTATTCACTGGTGGCTGGAAAATTCAGTGGTTCCATGATATGCCCAACTCTTCACAGGGGGAAACGGGGAGGTGGGTGGACATCAGGAACCCAATCACATAAGCATTTTACACTATGGGTAACACACGTTTAAAAGGTACAATGAGGCACAGGACAATTGTAAAGAGTTTATTTGCACAAACAGTGATTCATGAGTCAGGCAGCACCAAACCAGGAGTGGTACCCCGGTGAATACAGAAGTAATACAAAGAAAATACTTGATTGGTTACAGTTATAAAGTTGTCTTATTTGGTCTATCTTGCTGGAAAGTTCCTAGGTATAAAATTATAAGTTTGTTGGCTACTTCTGATTGCTTGAGCTTGTAAGTCGTTTTTCTTTTACAAGAAAGAGCTCAAGTTAAGTGTTGCTCATGTTTGCAAATCAAGCAAGGTTTAGGTCATTGATGAGCCTGAACAGTTTTGTCTGCTCAGGGGTTCTTCAGGCCTGGTCTCCATTTTAATTTACTTTAACACACATATGGCAGAATATGATTAGCAACCCAACCATGCATACAAATTTAGGAGCCAAATGATAGGGGGAAATAATTGTTGTAGAAGCAGAGAGGAAAAGTCTGTTGTTTGAGAAAGGCTTATGGGGTACAGGGCTGGTGTAAAGTCAGGAACAAGGGGTCTGGGCAGGACAAGAGCCAGGAGGGGCTGGAGAGAGGCCACCTGTGTGTGGACCTCCCCGCACAGGCCACTGTTCTGAAGTGCCGTTCCTCAGGGGCTCGGTCCACCTGCTCCTAAGTTATAAGAACACGGACAGGGCAGAACAAAGTCTTTTTTGGAATTGCGAAGGCACTCAACTCTCCCTTTGCCTTCCTACTTATAGTTGTTTGTTTGTTAACATTCCTGAACTCAAAAATAAACACAAGAATCTTTCAACTGAACAACTTAAATACAGTCTTCCTTAAACCATTTGTCAAAGCTGTCAGGATTTCTAGGATATTGGTACCTCCCTTTCCTGGCAAAGTTGCCACCTCCCATTGCTTCTTTCCACACCACCCTTGACCGCAGAGCTCTGGCTTTGTTCATGGACCCACTGGACCGGACTGGGTTTGTTCATGGACTCACTGGACTGGACTGAATTTGTTCATGTGCCCACTGGACTGGACTGGGTTTGTTCATGAACCCACTGGACAGGACTGAATTTGTTCATGTGCCCACTGGCAAGACAGTGAAGAGCGTCCCTCGCTTGGTGGCTGATGGTGGGAAGTGAGCACCGTGACTGTTCACTTTCATGGATGGCTTCAAAGGCAGGCACCCAGCACCTACGGCTTACTTTCCCTGAGACTCAGGAAGAAGCAAAAATAAAATACGATAAAAATCTCAAATTTAGAGAGCCTTTGTTTCCAAGAGAGTAGCCTCAAACCCAGTGTCAGATTTCATGAATATTAAGATGTCATTCCTATACACTCAGCTCTCAGCAAAAAGGGTAGCACAGCCCTTGACTGTCCCCTCCCAGACACGACCTAATCTCCTTCCAATTAACAGGCTTTGTTTATCTGGCTTCCCCCATTAGCTGGGCCTTCAGTGCTGCTAGGTTATAATGAGAAGAAATTTTCTAAGCACAGGCACACTAAGAACAGAAATGACAATTAACTCTATCATCACAAACGCTCCAGGCGTTTAGTCTTTCTCTTGGTGATGCCTGGAGTAAAAAAGGTGTTGACTCAAGATACAGCCTGTTCCCTATTCCAACACCCTCCCCATTTCTTCTCTCTTTCTGTTGTGCAAAAAAGGTGTCGAGGAAAAGGCACTCACTCGCCTGGTGGTCAGAGACCTTGACTGAGGTCCCAAGTCCAAGACTTCCTGACTCTATGATAGTGTGTGCCCCTCGTCTGTAAAATGGGAGTGACTGCCTCAGGCTACCTGCCCCCCGAGCGTGCCATTGTGAGGCTCTGCGTAGGGAGAGCAGACACAGGCTCGTGGAGTGCCCTGGGGCCTCCACAAACTGCACTGTCCCCGTCCCTGTGTTGGCAGGAAGAAGATGACTATGAAAGTCCCAATGACGATCAGGATGGGGAGGATGACGGTGACTACGAGTCCCCCAACGAGGAGGAAGAGGCACCCGTGGAAGACGACGCCGACTATGAGCCGCCGCCCTCCAACGATGAGGAAGCGCTGCAGAGCTCCATCCTGCCGGCCAAGCCTTTCCCCAACACCAACTCCATGTACATCGGTAAGGGCCTGCCTCCTGGCGCTCCACGCTCAGCTCCCCGCTGCTGCACGGGAGGCCGATGCCCCAGCTTGCCCATGTAGCAGAAAGCTCTGGGTGCTGACGGCAGCTCAGCTTCTTAACAGCTGTGTGGCTTTAGACAAGTGACTCCACCTCTCTGGGCCTCAACGCCCTCATCTGTGAAATAGGGTAATAATCGTCAAGACCACACAGGCTCGCTTGAGGATTCCTAGCACTGCAAACAAATCATTGCCTGTGGTGGCTCGTAGCACTGAGCTGCCACTTGAGGGTATGTGGCAGTTACAACTCATTCTGTGGTTTACTCAGGTACTCGAGAGTACTTTCCCGTTCCTCCCGCCTTTGGCCAAATCATAGTCACACGGCACTACCACCTACAGACTGTCAGAGTAAACAGCAGGACGTCGAGTGGGGGTTGACTACAACTTTAAAAAATTAGACGGTGTTTAAGATTTCTGTTTCTATCTGTCCTGTTAGCCCACTTCTCCCTCATTTATTCACTCCTTCAACAGTTACTGTCACTCTCCCACTAGGAGCCAGGCCCCACTCTAAGTGTTGGGAAAGCACGAGGACAGAAGACACGGTCCGTGTCTCGGGGCCACATTCATGTAGTGGTGGTGACGGAAATGAATACGTACACACTTGCGTCACGCAACTGTAGGTGTGAGCTGGAAGTTGATGATCAATACCGAAAAAAACTGATTCCATTTAATCCTTGTGCTGTGCAGCCCTTTGTCACTTTAAAGCCCTCTCCTGATGCTGCCCCAGCATCTCGTCGTGTGCTGTTAAGCACCCCGTGTGATAAGGACAACGGTGATCAGCTCTGTGTAGTGTACAGGGAAGCGGAGGTCAGAGAAGAAAGGGGGAAGGAAGCTGCTAAGCACCTCGTATGTGCCGGTTGCAAAGACACGGAGTGAACAGGACAGTCCTCGCTCTAAGGATTCTAGTCCAGTGGGCGAGGCAGCATCAAACAAACAAGTCCCAAAATTATGTAACTCAATGATGATACAGGGTCAGGAAGACAAGCGCAAGATGAGGCTGGAGTGTGTGCCTGCGCTGGGCCTGCTCGCCATAAGGAGCTGTGATAGTAAGCTGGTGTTAAAGGATGAGTAGAAGGTGGCTGAGTGGAGATGGATGGGGCAAGGGAGGAGCATTTGAAGTGGTAGAAATGGCCATGCAAAGGCCCTGAGGCTCGAAGGAGCACGGCATGTTAGAGGAGCTGAAAGATGGCCAGTGAGGGGGAGTGGGGCAGGATTAGCCCGGCTGGCCCTTGCTCTGAGCCCCTTCTCTGGGGAAGAGCCACGCCTCTCCGAGGCTGGGACCAGGGTGAGTGACAGAGCACCTAGGGCACAAAACATAAGGAGGCCCTCACTCACTCCCGCTCTTGCCTAACAGTCTTGTTCTGGACTTTCTCTGTCAGAGGGGTAGGACATTGCCAGCCTGTCAACCTGTCCTTAGGGACACTTCTGTGGCAATCGGAGTAATGTGAGTTTCTGTCCAAGGCACGTCCAGGTCCCCATTAAGAGCCTATGATTTAGAAACAGGAGTTGGTGACCAACTTCTCCCTTTATGAGAAGAGATGAGCGAAAGGAGGAAATGTCTGAGCATTTGTGAGGGGACGGAAGGGACCCAGAATAGGATCCTCATGAGCGGCGACAACTTAACCCTGCACGGCAGTGGGTGTGCCCGTGTGACTGTGTGCACGTACGTGTCTCTGTGAGTGCAGCGTGTGCATACACATGCACAAGTGTCTGCGTGCACGCCTATGTGCACACGTGTCTTTGTGTGTCTGTGCGTAGGCAGGCATGTGTACATTTACTTCTTTACAATTTTGTCTGAAAACACTCCCTCCTGGTACTGGCTGAGCTAATGACAAAGGGGCCTTTTTGACTGGCAAAATCTGGATAAAGACCTAATCCTGTGAGGTGAGATGAGAGCTGCTTCTGTGTATGAGGAGAGTGACACAAACTGGGATAGAAAGAGGGGCAGGGAGGGGACAAGGACTCCCCAGCCCCAGTGAAATCCAGGCTGGGTCTCCCATGGCTGGGGTCGCGCTGGCGCTGGCCCCTGAGCGTGGCCGACACTCTCTCACTGGAATATTCTCGCGTTTCCACAGACCGGCCCCCAGCCGGGAAGGCCCCGCAGCAGCCCCCCGTGCCCCCGCAGAGACCGATGGCCGCCCTGCCTCCCCCGACGGCCAGCAGGAACCACTCGGTAGGCAGCCTCCTCCTGTCCTTTTCTGATACTTTGTGTCCACTGCAGTTACTTCCTCTGTCAGAGAGAAAATAAAACCACAAACGCCTTTATCTAATTCTAATTTTGTAAGAAAAGATTATATCTAGGCTGAGAAAATGCATACCCAAGTACTCAGTGTTTCTTTTTCTGGAAGAAATACTGGTGATTTCTATTTCTATCATTATGCTTATTGCTATTTTCTTTGTACCATAAACATCTAAACTCCTTGTATAATAAAAACTCCCCTTCTAATGTTCATTGTGCCGTTACTTGGAAAGAAGTGAAAACTGTAAAATAGATGAAGTCCAGGCACCTACTGGGACTGCGTGGGCGCCCCACCTTCCTTTCCTGCAGAGGGACTTGCGCCACCTGCTGGCCAACACCTGAACTTCCGGGGACAAATGCCTTCAGACCACAGTTTACTAGACAAGGAGCCTAGGGAGTGGGGGAGGCAGCAAACCGCCTTTCCTCTTTCTTCAAGCACACAGGCCGGCTGCTGTGGATCTAGTAGATTCCCAGAGTGACCCTGAGGAGCTCAGATTAAGGAGTCGATAGCTGGCAATGTGTTCTCTTCCCAAGTTTATCTATAAATGTATTTTGCTTTTGAAATCTGAAGACCTTCACCTCCACTACTGGGATGTGGAATTCAATCATCCCCTCAACTCTATCCTGGCACCAAGCAGTGTTCTGGGTGCCAGCGTAGAGTGTGAGCAAGACAAATAAAGTCCCTGCTTTCATAAAGTTTCCACTGGGGTTGGGAGAGACACATCACCAGCGGGTAAACCGCTGTGTGGATGAGATGATGTGAGGAGCTGTGTGTGGTTAGAGAGGCAGAAAGACCAGGTGATAGGACGGTGGGTGGCAAGGTGACAAGGGGCTGGGACAGAATGAGCCAGTTGTGAGAAGAGCTGGGAAAAGAACATTCTGAGCTTCAGATTTTCCAGGAACTACAGAAGACCCCATGGTGGGCACCGGGAGGGGATATAAGAAGGGTTGGGAGTGTGGACAGGCACCAGCTCAGGCAGGGCCTTGCAGACCACAGCGAGTTTTTATTTTGTTTCTGATGTGACAGGAGCCACTGGAGGGCTCATCAGGGACATGACGGGCTCACTCCGCTGCATGCAGAAAATAGCTTTCATAAGAGAGAGCAGAACGGGGAGCTCAGATGGGAGGCGACCTCAGTAGTTCAGAAATGGAGGTGGATATGAGTGGGCGGAGGAGACGGAGATGGAGATGGAGAAACGTGAGAGGATCCAGACATATTTTGGGAAGCAGAACCACCAGGTCTTGCTGATGCATGGGACACGCTTCCTAACGTTTGCGTCTTTTTTTATGTAGCCACTACCCCCACCCCAGCCCAACCACGAAGAGCCTAGCAGAAGCAGAAACCACAAAACGGCCAAGTGTGAGTACCAGGGCTGCTCTGTCTTGCCCACCAGCCCACCCTGCCCCCACCCCAGCCCACGTGCTGCAACTGCCACCACCTTTTAATTGATGTCAGTCTTTTTCCTTTCCAGTGCCGCCTCCTTCGATAGACAGAAGCACAAAACCTCCCCTGGATCGCTCATTAGCTCCGTTTGAAAGAGAGCCCTTCACTCTAGGTGGGTGTGACTCACGTTTGCTAGCGATCGTGGTCAGCATTTCCAGAGTGCTTACTGCATGCTTTTCACATGCACCATCTCATTTACCGGTGGCCACAATACTGTGAAGTAGAGGCTATCGGAATCACCCGCATTCCTACAGATGAGGAAACAGAGGCACAAAGAGAAATCACTCACCTACCAAGTGATGGGAGTAGACACCCAAACCCAGATCAGCCTGATTGTAGGGCTCCTGGGCTGGGCCTGCTTCTCCACGTGACATGTGTGATCTGTGTACGCACATCTCGTTGTCCTCCAGCCGAGACTCCACAGGGGGCTTTGTGGTGCAGAGGGAGGACCTGAGCTAAGAGATGCGAGGTCTCAGGGAGCTGGCGTCTGCTGCTTGTTGAACACAGGGAGGTTACTTTTTCAGGGCTCAGTCTCCTAACTTGTAAGGCAGGTGTTCTGTAAGGAGGAGATGCTTTATAAAACACGAAGCAGCTGTTCAAATGTCAGGGTTGTTTTTTGTTGTATGTATGCAATTGACCAAATATTGGGTATACAGCAATCCTTTTACCCCGCAATTTACAAAATTCTTGGATTGCAGCTACTTCCACATGGAGCTATTTTCAATTCAATTCTAAAACTTAGTTACCATTTATTGAGCAACTACTATGAGGCAAGTGCCTTGCCTACTGCAACTATGCCTACATTATCTCTAATCCTCATGCCAACCCAACAAAGCAGGTGCATTATTATCCCTACTTCCCAGTTGATGAAACTGAGGCTCAAAGAAGTTGAATAATTTGCCTAAATTTGCATAAGTGGGTGCAGGATTTGAACTTATGCCTTTCTGACTTCTAAGTGGCTGCTGTTTTCTACCACATAATGCTGCAGTTGAGGGCCCCGGGTTTTAACTTGCTGTGGATGAGGAGAGTCTGGGGAAGGAACTCTGAAACTGAATAGAGGAGGAGCCCAGAGTCCCAGCCATACCCCAACCCTTCCTTGGCTATGCTCTGAGCAAGGCATTTAGCCTTTTGTGGCCTCACTCCCTTGTCTGTCAGCAAAATGACTTTCAGTCCTTGGATTTGCGGCTGCTGCTTGCTGCTGTTTCCCCAAACTGTGTCACAACTGCGCTGAGTCATGCAAAGCTGTGCTGGCTGTTTTGGTTTGCAACAGTCTGCAGCAGACCTGTGTAATTACGTGAAAATGAAGACAGATTTGACTCAGATTCCAATCCCGCTCGCTGCCGTGAGCCAAGGCATCGCATCAGAAAAGTAGAATCCTGATGTCGAATCCTTCACAATCACCTATCTTTTAAAAGATTACTTTTTACTATTTTTTTAAAAAAATGTTTAAAGACACCCTTTTCTGACAATTCCTGTTCTACTCTTGAATTACTCCCTTTTCTGAGAAGTTTTAGAAGAATTCATGTCTTCTTACAACACTTAGACTCAACATGAGACTCCTACCGTGCCCAGAGAACATATACAAAAATGAGCAGATATTTTTAAAAAGTACATTCCGGCCGGACAATATAAATCTAAGTTTTCTGGGTGTCCCTCTAAAGTAAGGGTTCTACCCCAAACTAAAGTTTTATAAATAATAAACATGTTTATACCATCAAAACTCTCTCACACTGGCCAGTGAGTTCTTCACACTGGGGTAGTATTCTTAGGACATATCATGGGCCTGGCATGTATTTGGTCCTTAAAGAATAATTCATGTTGTGAAAATGCAGCTCCAGGCAGGTTGTCTCGCCTTCACCTTAGGGTGTTCACTGTGCCTGGCTGTAGGAGGGAGGGAGAGAAAGGAAGGTAACTAACAATTGTCAGCCCACATGGATCATGTCAAAGTCCAAATAAAAATGCAGAGATGCATCTCTAAATGTGACGTTTTATTTGGGAGGAAAGAATTGCAATTGAGGGTGTACACACAGACCTTGTGGTCTTCCGTATTTCTGAAGAACAAAGAGAAGGCTGGAGGCTATATAAAAAAGAGGAATGTTGCCTATTACTGTTTGAGAAAGCTCATTGTCACTAGCAAGCTCCCAGGGAGCTGGCAAGTTTAACTGGGGAGTGTCGGCAGTGGGTAAAATTAGCCTTAGTGTTGCAGCCGGTCGGTCGTTTCAGCAACTGTTAGATAAAACTAGTTTGAGGTTACAGCAGGCGATTTCAGCAGCCAGACTTGCAGAGAATTACATTTTTGGAGCAATATTAGTGTCCTGGGTGCTTTCCTCTCCTGGCTTCTTGACTCTGTTTTCGTTGAGTATGACAAGAATGATCCAATTCTTATAATCAGATTTCACCATCATGTGCCTGACCCTGCATATAAATTGTCGACTGATTCTCACAACAAACCTGTAGGGTTTTAGCCTGTAACATCATTGTAGAGATGAAATTGAGACGAAAAAACCTTAAATAACTTGTTCAAGGTCATATAGGATTTGCTTCTAGACCTGGTTGAATCCTCTTAGTAATACTTTTATCACTTTGAAGACAAAGGGCTTACCTATGCTAGGGGACTTTAGATAGAATACAAATTAAATTGCTTGATGAATAACTTTGCAATGCAGAATTCTCAGGTACATCTGGCATTTCCTCAGGGAACCAGAATATCATATATCATCTGTTCGAAAAGAGAAGTAAAACAAAACAAATAAAAACCAACCCCTCCCCCCCCCAAAAAAATGATTTGTAGCACTCAAGGAGATCTCCTGAAACCCTGTTCCCCAAGCTAAAAGTGTCTTTCAGAAACTAAGTGGAGTGCTTTAATATCAAGTGCTCCACGGGACTGGAGAAAAATTAACCCCTTCATGGCAAATGGGTTTATTTTCGATTTGAAAATAAAACTTAGGCTGTACAAAAATATTTTGGCCAATGAGAGAGGCATAAAATCCCAGGAAGACGTTAGTCCTTTTGCTCACGGCTTATGTTCACAAAGCTGTGTGACCGTGGGCAAGACACTTGATTTCTCTGAGCCTATTAAATTAGGTGCTCTGTAAGGGACATTTCCAGATCTGAAGTCTGGAACAGCAGCCCCTGTAAGAGCTCAGATTCATAGTTTCCTCAAACTATGTTTTTAAACCTCATGCTTATAAAGTCCTGTATTCAAGGCGTCTCTGCTGTCATTTACAGGAAAGAAACCAGCATTTTCTGACAAGGTAAGCTTTCTCTCCTCTTTTGTTTTTGTTTGTTTTGCATTTTGTCCTTATTCATTGAAAAGTGCTTGGACACTCATACGTCTTCCCCACTGCCTTGCAGCCCTCTGTCCCAGCGGGAAGGTAAGACGCCCTGTTGCAGCTACATGAAGGTACCCGGGATATTCCACAGACCTCTGCCTTGGCAAAGTTTGTTTCTCACACTTCCTTTCTCTGAACTCTGCAGGCCTCTCGGAGAGCCTTTATCCAAGATACAAAAGCCTCCTTTACCACCAACCACGGAAAGACACGAAAGAAGTAGCCCCCTGCCAGGGAAGAAGCCACCTGTGCCAAAGTAACTGTCTTGTGTTGCTAGAGCTTGTCATTCCAGCAGGGTGGCTGACATAGACAGCCTGCCTAGTGTTAGCTCCATGGTGGGAGCCGAGATTCGTGGGCGCTCCCAGGTGGGGTGGGGTCCTTTTCTTGCGGTGGCTTGAGGAATGTTTAGGCTTCTCAGGCTGAATATAAAGTGCCAGGGTCTCTGAAGAAAATGGAATATAGCTTAGAAATGAGTAGGGAGATGTTTAATCAGGAGTGTGAGATGGCTGCTGTTTGTGGAGACCTTGCCTACAAGCAGTCGAATCTTTAACTGAGTTTTCCTACCTTGTTGCAGCAAAGCCTTCACGGTGCATAGGAACCGCACTTACCATTTTATTTTTCAGTGTAGGTAGCAGAAAGAAAATAACTGGGGGTGGTTTTTAGGTCACTGTAAGGGTCTTCCTTACTGTTCAACCACATTTTGTAATTGCGGGATACTGAGCTCTGCTCTAGTATTTCTTTACTTTGCTATGAAGTCATTCGGGGCCTTTGTACCAAATGGCGTGAATGTATCTGGGGTCAGGCCAACCCTGCTACTTACTAAGGATATAACCAACGCTCTGTTAATCTCATTTGTGAAATCAGGATTTGTACCTATCACCCTTCCTTGGCTGCTGTGAGGATTAAATCAAGGCCAGGGCTAGAGTGTGCCAAAAAGCCCCTTAGTAATGGAGTTCGATAATGTGTTAGTGCAATATTTTTAAACAATCAAAATGAATGCAAAAAAACACGATGAACAAAATATCAAAATTTTAAATACATGCAAAACGAGATGATAATGTGGGGAGCATCTGACACCCAGGAGGTGCTCAACAAATTGCCCTTCTCTTTCCCTTCTCCCGGAAGAGACCGTGCTAAGGGGCAGCAGTGCAGACGCCTGCTGTGGCTCTAAGGCAGCTGTCACCAAATCGGTTTGGCTAGCTTGTTCATCTGGGCCAACTGCACTGAGCCCCCTTTGGAAAAGTCCCAAAGCAGCAGCATTTCCAACCGTCTTTTCTTTACACCAAGGGTGGGCCCTGAAGAAGGCTGTTTTAAAACATCAGCAAAGGAGACTATTACCTAAAATGTTTTCATTTGCTTGGAGAAACAACAGCTCAGTGAAATTTAATAGCTACTAAGGAGTTAGTTTGCTGACTAAACCTTTATATATATATAATTATTTGCTGCAGTAGCTACCCAGAAAAAAGCTTTGCCTAGCTCAGCCTGCAATGATGACAGCACACTGAGTAACCAGATCTCCCCTCCACCCCGCTCCCCTGCCTTTCTGCAGGGATGCGTTGTTTTCCACCTTCCCACGCCTCAGTGGGTTTGATTTCTCATTATTCGATTAAGTGAAACTATATTGTGAGGCTGGTTCTTTGGAACTCTTTGTGTTCAGTTCATTTTCTTTGCCCTAATTCATTTCAGGCATGGATGGGGACAAGACAGAAGAGAGAATGTAAGTACAAAATGTCATTTTGTGAATGCTCGGCACTGGGGAAACCAGAGTGGGCTCCGTGGAGGTTGGGACTCCATCCATCTTGGCCTTCACTGAAGTCCAGCCTGAAGAGGGGTCCTGAGTACTGGGGCCTCCACCTTCGGGGCCTGGGTCTTTCTCTGAGCCTGTCATGCTGCGCTGCTTAGCTCCTGTCCCTGTGAGAGCACCCGGGGTGGCTGGGTTAGCTGCAGCCCCATCCCGTGGTGTAATGAGCAAGGTGAGGGTGGGAAGAGGAAGAGAGGATACCTTGAGGGACGGCCAGGAGTCTGGGCAACGCTGAGGTTCCCAAGGCCTCCGTTTCCCCTTTCAGTACCTCCACGATCTGAAAAAGAGGGCAAATAGCACTTATTGACTGCTTACCATGTGCACATTGCTGTGCTAGCTGCTTCAGGGTGACCAGCTGTCCCTGTTTGCCCAGGGTGCTCCCAGTCTTAGCACTGAAAGTCCCACATCCCAGGAACTCCCTCAGTGCCAGCCAAACCAGGATGGTTCTAGCTTTACACATGCTTTGCATTTAATGACCCTGTGAGGGATCATCCTTTCTCTATTACTGAGAGGAAACTGAGATGCAAGCTGGCCCTTTTGGTCTACTAGTCAATGGCAAAATCACTCGTCTCCTTGAACCTCATCCTTACCTGAGAAGAGAAAATAGCCCTTCCCTTGTCTATTTCACAAGGTTGCCCGGAAGATAAAAGTGGTGAGGGCTGTGGGTGCACCTTGTAAGCCGCACTGTAAATAAATATGGCCGCATGGCTTTTAACAAGAGTGGCCTTGGCAAGGGAGAGGCAAAAAGGAGGCTGAGCTTTGGGTCAGACAGATTTGGGGTGGAGCCCAGTTTTGCAACTTTTGGCAAGGCCGCTGGGACTCCTTCCTGAGGGTCATGTCTCCATTTGTAAAATAAGGATGCGAAATTCCTGGAGGGTTGCTAGGGAAACTGAAGGAAATCTTGTGTATGAATCTTTTTGGGCACATCATAGATATTGTTAATATTATTATGTCTTTGGGCTTTTTTGGGTACCTCTGAATCTATTTCATGCTAAGAACATGAGAAGAGTCTCAAATCAGAGTGTCCTTAAATGATTGTTTGTATTAAGAATCATAAACCACTTGGCAAGTTCTAGTATTCTCCAAAGTATATTGATTATAAAGAGGCATAACTGTCAAAGAAAGAAACAGAGACATTTATTTGATTGAGAAATGCAATTTTGTTTTAGAAATTGTATTTTGATGATACATTAATATTTCTTTTCTTCTTCCCCTGCCCAGGATGAAGATGATGGTATGCTTAGAAATGGCTTTTTATAACTTGTAACTCATTCTTTCATTTATCTGTTTATGCATTCAAATGGGATTTTTGAGTACAGGAACGCTGTAGAATCAATTATAACTGTTAAATTAGTATTAAGTAGACTTATGTCAACTGGTATACTGCACAACTATAATAAAATGGAATTATTTGTTTGGATTACCAAAGAGAACTCTTAAGTTCATGTGTAGCAGTGCAGATTACTGAATTGTACAGCAAAATTAAAAATTGTACGCATGGTTTGATAGAAAAATCTCTCATATTTATGCCCTGTAACAAATGTGGATAAAGAATCAGTAACTGCAGAGAAATGAGATAGCATAAAATTTTGACTTTCATAAAATAAGATAAAAAACTTGTGAACTATTTCTGAGATTCATTATGTTTCCAGTTGACAATTTTCTGCCAAGTTAGGATTTCAAAAATGGAAAAATACAATAAATGTGTATTATAGCGAATGATATAGAATAGCAGCACTTTAAAAATGCATTCTAAGGCGGTATGTCATCTAGAAAAACCTTGAGGGATAGGATCCATCTTACCACTTCCTAATTACGTCTGATCGTTTAGACTTTTGTGTCTGCCTTTTAACTAGCTGTTTCTAATGGATGATTGTTTGGACAGTCATCCACTTAGAATGGGATGCTGGGAGCAGTTCTGGAATGTTCCTTAGAGACACCTGGGTCCTGACAATCTCCTTAATATTTTTCCACTTTTCTGCACAGTGCATCAAAGGCCTCTGCCCCAGCCAGCACTACTTCCTATGAGCTCCAACACTTTTCCTTCGAGATCTACCAAGCCGAGCGCCAAGCACTCTCTCCCATCCTCTCACATGCCTGGAGCTTTCTCAGAAAGGTTTGTGGCTCCGTCATTAAACTGTAGCTTAACATAACATCTGGGTCCACCTGACAGTGAGGTAATGCCAGGTAGGTTGAGGAAGAAAGGAATGAGCCAGTGGATAGTGGGGTCTGAACATTTTATATCTTAAGAGACAAAACCAAGCTGAGCATTAAGAACAATGTGTTAATTCACCACTGTCCTCGAGTCTCTGCTTGGCATAAGAGGAGTGCAGGATTGACTTTCCCCTTGATCACTCCAGATAGAACGGAGCCCTTGGCAGAAAATGGAGGATGCTTTTGCTTTGTGAGTTTAATCAAACACACAACAATCATTAACTTATTTAAGTACTTGGAGTGCATTCTGCAGTTTTGTCAGGAAGACTGAGAAAATCTTGGCAGATGCTAAGAATTGATTGCAGACTCTGCCCCTAGCAGGTCAGTTTTCTCAGCAGCAACAGAGTTTCTCAGCACTCATGATAAGGCTGTGCAGAGACAGAGGCATGAACAGGAGAAAGATCCAGGTCATTGTCCCCAAACCAGCCAAGGATCCTCCTCTTGGTGTCCCCCAAGGCCTTAATATTCAAAGGGAGGAGCCCAATTCCCTCCCCTCTGCATTGTGGGAAACTCACCTTCGGTAAGATGCATACACTCCCGCCAGCTATGGAGAAGGACTCTCACAATGTTTCCTTTGCCCTGGGTGCCTCTCGCCCTGTTTTCTGTGGCTCTTCTCCTTCTTCCTGCTGGTTTCTTCTTGGGCCATGCCTGCTGCTTCTCACGCTGCTGCTCCCTTCCACACTGCGCCCAACCCCCTCCGTCCTCACAGAATACCTCTCAGGAGAGGTTGCTGTGCAGAGCAGACGTTTCCGAAGATTTGGACTGATGGGCGGGGCCTCACTGCTCAGCCTGTTGCGGTCCCCTCCCACCCCTCCCCAGCCCGGCCCTGCCAGTGCTGTGGCTCTCTGGTGCGGCGCCACCTACGCTCTCTTCTTTCGCACCACCCTACCCTCTGCTTGCAGCCCTTTAGGCCCTGGAGTCACCGTTCCCAAAGACATGCCCCTTAACACATCCTCCTACCAAAGAGAGTGCCCTTCCCAGAGGACTTCTGCCATCCTCTGAACTAAAAGACCTCAAACTGCCACCAGTTTTATTAAAGTAACTTTTAAATGTCCTTTACACAGTTTAATTTTGCTGCTGCCGTTGTTGTTTTGGCTCATGATGCTCGTCAGACTTCGGGATGGTCCGTCAAGGGAGAACAGAGAAATGAGTCTAATCAGTTCCTTCTCTCTGCCCAGATCCCCTGGTTTTGAGGGGAGTGGAGGGTGGGAAGCAATGACAAAGCAAGAAGCATCTACCGTGTGGCTTCCCTAACCCAGCTCCCCGTCCAACTAAAATCCCATTCTTTTCCTGTCTCCGCAGCAGTAGCAGTTTTCCACAGAGCGCCTCTCTCCCGCCCTACTTCTCTCAAGGTTTGTACTCGGGGCTTTGGTGACCTGCTCCAGCCATCGCACCTTTGTGACTGGATTCCCAGCCTGTCCCAAAGCCTTTGGCAGGGGTTTTGTTGTTTCCTAAAAGCACCCGACTTCCTCATTCAACACTTGATTCAGTGTCTGCAGTGTTCAAGGGCTGTTGGAATGATAGGATATGACATAAAACACCACACGCACACATATATACATACACGCACATATACACAGAGACATATACACACATGCACACACACACACATACACACATGCACACACACATACACACACAGACATCCTCATACACCCAGACACATACATACACACACGGGCACAGACATACACACACAGGCACATAAGTACACACACACAGACACATACACATTCACACACACACACGCACCTCACCTCCCTCACCTTCCCACGTAGAGCTCTTCCTCCCTGCTGTTTCCGTAGGGAGCTGGAATAGTGCTTGGCTTTCTCTGTAGTGGTGGATTTCCCGATGCATCCGCCCGTGGGCTGTGCGTTGGGGAACATGTTTAAAATACAGACTAAGAGAACTCATCCTCACAGATTCTGACTCGGTAAGTCTGCAGTGAGGCCCAGGGATTTGTATATTAATAATAACCACCTCTGGATGTCCATGGTAAGCATTTGCTTAGAGTTTTCTCCAACTTTAGTGTTCATACAGATTACCTGGGAATCTTGTTACAATGCAGATTCTACTTTGGTAGGTTTGGGATAAAATCAGAAATTCTGCATTTCTAACATTTTCCTGCATGGTGCTGATACTACTGGTTCATGGACCACTTTGAGTAGCAGCAAAAGCCTACAGGGCAGGACTCACTTGTGTTTTTTATCCTTGAAGACTTGCCTACTTGGGAGGGAGGCTGAGGTGGGAGGATCACTTGAGCCCAGGAGCTCGAGGCTACGGTGAGCTGTGATCATGCCTGTGGCCTGTGAATAGCCACTGCACTCCAGCCTGGGTGACGTAGTGAGGCTTTGTCTCAAAAAAAAAAAAAAAAAAAAAACAAACTTGCAAGTGACTGGCACATAATAGGCACTTTTGAAATGCTTGTTGAATGACTGAATGTCAAATGACTGTGAAAAGTTACCTAACTCTAATAAGTAGATTTTTACCACGCCAGGAAATTGGCCTAGTGTTGCCAGATTTTCCAATTTTTTTAAAGAACAGTTGAAAACATAGCCTTTAATGTGAAATTACCCAATTTTTAAATGTCAACTTAAATTTTTAAAAAAAAAATGCTGTGAGGAGCAAACAAAACCCTTTTTTTGCAGTCACGGTTCCTGTGTAGAAACAGCATTTTGTGTTTTAAATAGAAAGCTACACTAGTATGTTTGTATTATGCTTGAGAATAAACATGTTTTTCAGGAACACATCTGTTGTATTCAGGTGGATGTGTCATTCCCCAGATAGGTGAGATCCCACAGCCAACCCCCGTGGCACCCACTAGGTTCTCAGTGTTCGCTAAGCATTTGAGGTGGTTGTGCCCATACTCACCGTATGGTTTTCACAGTTTCCCAGCCCCTTCAATTTTCCCCCATCCCCCAAAGTCACTGCGCTTTGCAAACCCACATTTGTGTAGCCTGCCTGGCCCCCGCAGGCATCTCAGTTCCAGACAGTTCGCTTTACAGCAGTATTTCCCAAGGCAAATTCCACACATCTCCAGTTTTATGAGTTGGTAATAGGGATTATTAACACAAATAGTTAATTATTTTTAGGAATACTACCTTAATCCAAATTGATCCCTGTCCTCTAAGACTGCCAGGATGCATGGTCCTCAGTCTTCTCCACTGGCTGCTCCAATGTCAGGAAGGTAAAGTTGTGTTGTGCATTGTCCAAAAACCTGTCACAATGCCCTTGAGACTCTAGATATTGAGGGTGGTGGGTGACTGCAGTACAAAAGCGTATATGCTTGTCTGTTGTGAATTACGACTTTTGAAAGTGTGATGCTTGCCGGTGGGTGCAGAAGCAGAAAGAGAATACTTTCTCAGCTCTAAAACCTCCATGCAACAGGCCTTGGTTCTATTACTCTCCTAGCTTGTTAGATTTTATTCATTCGACAGGATTATAAAAGTGTAAAAGTGTTGGACTGCAAAAGCAGCGGCGGGGAAGGACTGTTCAGGCGAGGGGGACCTGGAGAAGGAAGGCACCGGCAGCTCAGAGCCAGCCTTACCTGCGCATTTAGAAACAGGGAAGGCCATCGCCAATAATCGTGGTGACAGGGCTCAGGAGACGTCAGCCCTTCCCAGGTCACTCTCCTCCCTCACTGGGTAACAGTGGAGACGCAGTGACAATCCTGGTGCAGAACCACCTGAGGTGCTTGTTAACATGCAGGTTCCTGGGCCCTAGGTGATTTAAAGGCCCCCAGCCATTCTTACTTACGCACAACAACGTTTGGGAACCACAGGTTCAACTCTCGGCTTTGCCACTAATAGTACACGATTTGCTGAGACTCTGAGCCTCCATTTACTCATATGCAAAATGAAGACCATACCCACCTTGCAGTGTTGCTGTGAGAATTCCAGGTAATAGAAACAAAGTGCCTTACTCAAGACAGAGTAGTGCTGAATAAATATTTGTTCAATGTACAAACAGACGATGGATGAATAATTAAAAGAACATTTAACTAAAAGAAGTTTGCAGTTTTTAACAGCTGTCTGGCACACAGAAAAGCCTTGGCAATTACAAGTCGACACAATCAAACCTTTCCCAAGATGGGAAAATGTTCTCATAAAGTTTCAGGGAACTGTAAACAAGAAAAAAGAGCTTTAGAGAAGATGAGGCCCAAGCACTGGGTAATTTATAGGGGCCCAATGAAGACTTCTTGGTTGGTCAAATAATCTGTAGTGTAAGGTGAACACTTTTACCTCTTGAGAACACCAGGTAGCACACTCTGATTTTAAAAACTAACGGTATTCTCAATGTAATTTCATCTTGTCTGGGGTCCCTTACATTTCTTTTCGTGAAAACATTAAGAACATAATTACCTTTATTACCAAATTGTCACGACAGCATTGGGAATCCACCCTGGGTGTGCTGATGTTACAGGAGTCTACGAAAGATCTGTCTCTTGGATATTCTTTTTGATGTTCACATTCATTAAAACAAATGTGAAGTTTTCATAAATGGATCTAGTCACTTTACATCATGTGACATGCGCATCTAGGAAATCGCTCTATGTTGAGGTCGTACTCTCAGAGTTTTACTGGCATGATTACAGAGCAATGCCTGAGCAGCCCTCATAGTTTTGAACAGGTGAAAATTATTTTCAAAGCTCTGGTTGCTTGCAATGTTAATTATTGAAACAATGGCAAGGGCATTTTGAGGGGAAAATGTGTTTTGACAGAAGTAAACAATAGCTTACAGCAAATTAACTTTCCAAATGCTATACTTTTGAAGGCTCTAGCAACAGACCACCTCTCAGAGCTGAAGGCAGAAACTTCCCCTTGCCGGTTCCGAACAAACCTCGGCCCCCATCCCCTGCGGAAGAAGAGGTAATATAGCATATGTTTTCATTTTTGTTTTTCCTCCGTAAATGAATCATCAGAAACTCCCATTGAATAGTCTTTTGTACTTTTATCTTCTATTAGTTTTAGTTTATTTGAAAACATAAATTAAAGGAGAGAATTCGAATGAAAATTATGTTCTTTCTCCTTGGTGTTCTTTTAGACTCTTCCAATGGCAAATGTGTATTTTGTATTAAACAACGAGAAAAATAATTCTATTTTTTGTTTCCTAGCTTATGACCTTGATTAGTGATGCAATTGCTCGTTAACCCAGTTTTTTCATTAAGCATGTTATACTAACCTGAACAAATTATTATATCTGTATCTTTCTTGATTAGAGATTGTCTATTCACAGCTACCTTTGCAACCAGTGTCATGATAAAAAGCAGTTCACGCAAATTATCTTCTATTTAGCCCCACCTAAATGATTCTATATTCAAATTAAGAAAACAAATGCTTTAAACCTCATGGAATCGAGGTGGTGATTTATGGAAATTATTGCTCAGAGGCTTTTCTTTTAACTTACATATGTAACTGCAAAATTTATTCAATTTTTAAAAATTTACATTTTCAGAATTCATTAAATGAAGAGTGGTACCTTTCTTATATTACCCGACCAGAGGCAGAAGCTGCTCTTAGAAGGATAAACCAGGTATTGTGCTATAGTTTATTTTTAAATAGTTATAAATATTAACAGAGAATAAGAAGGGAACTGACTTGTATTGAGCACCAATTATGGGCTAGAAATTCTGCTAGGTGCTGTTGCCACTGTTACACCTAGGAGATCCATTAGTGCTGGCTTCACGACTACCTCCATCCATAGCAATGATTCCTAGGACTCTGGCTGGCAGAAAAATCTAAATTAGGCAGTCATTTGGTTGGCAGACTCTTAGGAGATTTTTTTCAGTGAAAGGAGTCCATCTTATTATGGGAATCATATAGTGTTAGAAGGAGACTCTCTCTCCCCTAAATTTCCAACATCTCACCATTTAGTTCCATTTTCTCTTTACACACAATTGCCATCCACATCGATGCGAAAGGACCAATATTGAAAGAGACAGCAGCAATGTTTTTCCCTTTCCCCTAGACATTTCTAGCGGGTCCTTTAATATAATAAGGTCTTAAACAGATTTCCTGTGGCCCAGTGCCGAACCTTAATCTTAAATCTATTTATCAGAGATGGGAAAGGAAAGATCCTTCATCTTTCCCATCTAAAGTCTACAGCAGTAGTTCTCAACCTTAGCTGTACATTTAGATCATCTGGGAGCTTTTTGAAAATCCCGATTCCTGGGTGTCACCTGCAGATTCTGACTTAGTCTGGGGTGCTGTGTGGGCTCTAAGAGGCTTCAAAACTCAATTCTCATTTGAAGCCAAGACTCTGAGTAGTGGTCCAGAAGGATGTTTGTTTAACAGAGATGATCTGACTGGCTCAATTGACTTGGAATAAAAAGACACGAAGGACAGCTGTTATTGCAAATTGATGGCTATTTAAAGCCATCCAGATTCAGTGAAAGAGAAGGGACTAGTTTAAAGGAGTCCTTAATAATTAATTCTATTTTAACATCAGGTCTTTACAATATTAATATTATGTAGCAATACTTTATTGAATGGAAATTTAAAGTACAAGATGAATCACAACACTAGTTTAGTAAATATTAAAAAAAAGGGTGATAACACAGACAGCTGCATTCGATTTTGTTCAGGTGTCTGATGAATGAAACACTGTATCTAGAGATAATGAGGTTTTAAAAGGGGCCCATTTCATGGGTATTTGGGTGTTTTCTGACTTCAGAAGTCAAAAAGAAAGGTTAGGGAATTCACTCACAGGAATAGGAAGATATATCTTGAGTTAACCAATAAAGTCTTTATTTCTCCTGGCCTTTTATTAACTCAACCACCTATTATTTATTTTTTACTGAAAAAAGATTCCTTTTTTTATCAAGAGACTTCAAAGCAGTTGACTTGGAAATTTCTCCAATACAATCTCTGCTGCCTCTCTCTTGATAACCAAAAAATTCGTGACACGTGGGATCTGTCGCTGTTTGGGAAACTGAGTATTCGTTGACTGACAGGTTGTGCAGTCAACTAGTCGCAAACTGCAACTGACAGGTTTTACAGATCCCCAGAGGGTTTTCTGCTGCTCTTACAGGCAACAATAACAGTGACTTTGACTGCTCCCATAATAACAAGTATTTATCCTTTTAGGATGGCACTTTTCTGGTTAGAGACAGCTCTAAAAAGACAATAACCAATCCGTATGTCCTTATGGTGTTGTACAAAGATAAAGTTTACAACATACAGATCCGTTACCAGGAGGAAAGTCAAGTTTACTTGTTGGGAACTGGGCTCCGAGGGAAAGAGGTAAGGATTTCGAGTTTCAACCTTTCCCCAAATTCTCTTATGTTTCTCTGCGTACCTTCGTGGAGCCCACTGTAACGTTCTTTGGGAGTTCATACTGTATGGTAACTTTAGAGTTAAATCACATGAGCGAGGCCCTTCATTTATTGAAAGAGAAATACAGCAAAATGTTTACAATGGCTACCTCTGCCATAGGAGTCTTTTTGTAACTTTTATTCCAAATAATCTAAAATCACATGTATAACTTTTAAAATCAGGAAAAAAAATGTTACCATTTAAATTTTTTAAAAAATCCAGTTAGGTGGTGTCAAAAGCAAGTCCCTATTGTTCACCTCTGTGACGTAATTTTAATGTAGATTGCAGTGTACTTATAAGCATGTATTTAAAATGGACGCCACTTGGGAAAGGGGAAAAACTAGAATATTTGCTCTGTTGATTATTTAGATACTTGAGTCATTTCTTACTAAAAATGGAGGGCTGGCTCTGTGAAGATGGCCAAATTGTCAAACATAATTTTTCTCTGTTAGGCCAAGGTTCAGATTCTCATGCCAGTGACTTTTTGAGTGGTAATCAGAACTGAAGTGAAAGAAACCATCAGGGATACTTTCATAAAGGAAACTAACAACTAAAGTTAATGCCCCAGACATGCTCTTTTAAGTTCAGAGTTCCAGGAGGAGGACCAGCTGCATCCAACACCTCCAGAACGAGAAACACCATACCCATACCTTCCACTTCACTCCAAATACTTTTAAGTTATGGTAATATTAGTGAGTAGAAAAAAACGCATGATTTTGGTCAAACATTTGAATCACTGGTTCACTGTGGATAGAGATGCATAGACTCTATGGAAGGAGAGGTGTTTGCCCTCCGAGATTTCTCTTGGTCTTGTGTGGAAACATACAAATGCTAACCACTCATTGCAGCTGCCATGAAGGTAGGCACCTAGCAGATTAGTCTTAAAGGAAGTGCATAAGCCTGTTTGGGGTACCTAGGTGACTTCTGACACATGTCTAGAAGGATGAATGGGACTTTTCCCAGCCTGGCCATCAGGACTATGGTGATCAAGGCTATACAAAGAAAGACTTGGCTGCTGAGCCCTTTTGAGCATGGAGGTGGCAATGGGGACACAGTAGAGAGATCATGAAGGAACCGTTGTGCCCTGCTATAGATAACACCCCAACACTGTGAATGAAGTTTGGCCTCCTGATTCCTTATACCTCTTAACATTACTAATGATTTGGAGTGAGGTAGGGATACAGAAACCAAAGCCAAAACCAAAGAGAGCAACCTCAAAGCAAGGGCATTGTAATTAAAATATTTAGAATAAATGACTCTCTAAATGAAGTTAAAAAAATGTATGCATCATATTACATATGTATATATATACACACACACACATGCATTTTTAATCTTTTATCCATGTTTTTTGGATGTTTGTGAAGATTTTTTCCCCGAAGTTCTATAGCAGAAATCATTAAACTATTTGCCACATTTTAC